TTAAATTTCAGTTACAGAAGCGTTGATTAGCTACATAGGTGGCATTCTCATCCATATGGACTATGAATGTCACAGCTTTGTTATATGATTTTAGAGCCTGATAACCAAGTACTATTTTTGGTGGCCCTGAAAGGAGAGATTTGGTGTCAAGCAATGGGGTGAAACTAATTTAACATCTCAAAGATGTTAAATAAGAGGCCCATGAGAAGTTACATAAGGGGCCCAGCTATGGAGGGGTGACCTAGCACTTTGTCATTTGTAGGGTGGCATTTTCTATTTGGTGAACTTCTTTTATTTCAAACTGTAACCATTGGTAGTGAGTTTGGGAACTTTTGATAAAACGAATAGGTCAGCAACTCCTGGGTGACAGCAGTTGGCTTCACTAAATACCCTCACTTTTGTTCAACAAGCATGGCCATAACCCCTGTGTGGCAGGATAAATGGAGGGTGCTTTGTCCTAATGTGCAGACATTAGACAGAAAAATGTACTTACTACAGTTGGACAAGTGACACTACAATCCAGTAATAAAGTACTGGTGGCGCCCAGACTTCAAGCTGAACCTTTGTAAGAGTCTATAGTAGCAGTCTTAGATATCATTAATTGCCGCTCCAAATTCAGGCAAGGTAGAGACCCCTTCGTTTCCCATGCAACTCTTTTTTTTTTTTTTTGAGTTAGAGTCTCATTCTGTTGCCCAGGCTGGAGTGCAGTGGCATGCTCACGGCCACTCCAGTGTTGACCTGCTGGGCTAAGGTGATCCTTCCGCCTCAGCCTTCCAAGTAGCCAGAACTATAGGTGTGTGCTACCATGCCTGACTAATTTTTTGTTTTATTGTAGGGATGAGGTCTTGCCAAGTTGCCCAGGTTGGTCTTGAGCCTGTGGGCTCAGGCAATCCCCCCAGCTCAGCCTCCCAAAGTGCTGGGATTACAGGCTTGAGCTACCACGCCCAGACAAATTTTTTGATTTATTGTAGAGATGAGATCTTGCCAAATTGCCCAGGCTGGTCTTGAACTCCAGGGCCCAGGCAATCCTCTTGCCTCTGCATCCCAAAGTGCTGGGATTACAGGTGTGAGGTACCTCACCAGCCTCATATAATTCTTGATGCAGGTAGTGAATATAAATTGGTGGTCTTTCTTGCCAAATTAGATAGTGCTCTTGAATGGAAAACAAAAAACCAAAGTAAAACAGAAGACACACTCTTTGCTGGTGTCAGTCTCCCTCTGCTGAGCCCTTCTGTGATAGGTGCTCATGAGTCACACTGTATAATAAGTGGCTGCATCACCTTCTGAGGCCAACAGGCTAACAGTTAGTCTTTATAATTCTGAACACAGCTTCAATTTCCAAACCAAGCAACGCATTCTGGAATGTCATTCACTAAGAACATGTGACATCATCAGTTATCTAAATGTTAAACCTCCTCGAAAGTTACTGCCATACTGGAAAATTGTGTTTTGAAGGCAAATTCAAATAAGGTAAAATGTTAGGTAATATTGAATGCATGCAATAAACGCTTTACATTGAACTAAAGGAAAAGATGTGTAACTTTTATCAACAGGAAGTCAGTTTCTACTCATCCCCTCCAAATAAATGTTGAACAAATATTAAAAGAATTTTGACTTGAAAGGGCATGATATGATTGGCTTGCCCGGCAAACAGCCCCGTCTCTCATTTAATCCCGAGACTACACTGGCAGCTTTGTATTCTACTTGCATGTACATAAAACCTAGGGCAAAATGTCTGTATAGATCAGGGCTTGGAAATCTTTTTCTATAAAGGGCCTGATAGTAAATATTTCAAGCTCCGTGGGCTGTACAGTCTCTGTGGTAATTACTCAATTCTGCTGTGGAAAAGCAGCCACAGCTAATTCATAAATGAATGGATATGGTTGTGTTCCAATTAAATTTTACTTAAAGTGAGCAGATTTGTCCTATGGACTGCAGTGTTCTTACCCATAGTATAGACTCTTGGAAGAGTGTGTGTCAGCATGCCTTCAAATGCAGATAGTTGGCTAGTTTGCCTAACCCATAACATTGAGCAATATTGGGCAACATTTATACAAACCTTTGACATACATGTTTGCTTGTCATTTAGGATAATGTTTGACCCTTGCAGTAGTTCCGTGGACTTTTCTCCCTGGATGTCCAAATAAATCCTGAAGAGCATATCTGTCAAATCCAAGGGCAGTCTGTTTTCTGCAATGATCCTCATATCAGGCTAAACTCTGGTTTTATATGTGAGGAGGTAAATATATAGGGGCTTTAAACAATTTCTTTAGTTAGATAATTTTTCTTGAATATGGAAAGATATCTGAATGTTTACTGTTAGCTTTTAAATCATTTTTGCCAGCTGGGCGTGGTGGCTCAGCTTGTAATCCCAGCACTTTGGGAGACGAGAGACGATTGCCTGAGCCTGGGGTTCTAGACCAGCTTAGGCAACTTGGTGAGACCCTGTCTCTATAGTAAATCACAAAAAAACTATCTGGGCGTAGTAGCGTGCATCTGTAGTTCCAGCTATTTGGAAGGCTGAGGCGGAAGCATCACCTAAGCCCAGCAGATCAAGGCTGCAGTGGCCGTGAGCATGCCACTGCACTCCAGCCTGAGTGACAAGAGTGTGACTCCAACTAAAAAAAAAACACCAAAAACCATTTTTGCCACCCTAGAGAAGGTAGTGATAGTGTCTCCTGGAGAAAAGAATAGACTAGAGCTGTTTTTTGTTTGTTTGTGCTGTTTTTTAAAGAGCCAGAGTTTCACTCTGTTGCCCAGGTTTGAATGCAGTCATGCAGTCGTGCATTTACAGCTCACTATAGCCTCAAACTTCCATGTAGGGAGCCTCAAACTCCATGTAGGAATCCTACGACCTGGAGTACTGGGATTGCAAGTGTGAGCCACTGTACCCAGTCCTGGAGCTGGTTTTGAGAGAGCCAAAGAGGCGCATTTAGGCCGATAATTCTAAGAAAAAAGCTGGGCACCTTTTTTGATTCAATAAAGTAGAAAGACTATTCCTGTGCTTTATTCATACAGTATAGAGAAAAACAAAATTTTGGTGCCAGCCACCCCTGAGTTCAAATCTTGACTTTACCATTTAATGGTTTTATAGCCTAAGGTTGAGTGACAATGTCTTGGGGCCTTAATTCATATGTCAAATGGGTTTTTTACAAAGATGAAAGGTAATAAGAGTAAGTTAATAACATATATTATATGAATAAAATACCAAGAATAAAACTATCTTTGGTTCACAGCTGATACCTAAAAACACTGCCATCTCAGGTTCTTGTTCACATGTTACAAACATTATAGACCATCCACTTATCCCATCAATACATGAAAACTTATTGACAACCTTGAGCTTTTGACCAAAGCACAGAGTTGGGGGTCAAAAGGTTAAGATATGGTCATGGTTCTAATACTCATCTCCTTTGTGATTTTGGTAGAAAATAGAACTAGATAATTAAAAGGAATTGTTTATATCCTCCTCCAAATCTTAAACAGGTCCAGGGCATTTTCCATTTTCAAAATAAAATGATCCATAGAATACATACACAATATCCAAAAATAACTTTAAGCAACTTTGAAATAAATAAATAATAACACAATGCATTGGTTGCTAAGGGAAACAGATTCTGCCGCTTCAGTGCAGTAGCAAATTAAAATATCTCAAGGTACCTCAAGCAATTAGTTCTCTGACCCAGACAAATTCATTGAATTTTAGAGCTCCTGAGACTGCAGAATGTTTCAGTTGCTCACAGCCAGGGCCTGCCCTTCCCACCTCCCCCGCCCTCATCCCTGTATGGGCCTAGAAACATGGTGGGTTTTGGACTGTGAAAATGAAAAAATAAAAAGTATATAAAAAGGAAATATGGGGGAAAGGGAAGAATTATTCAACAGATTCATTGGCATATAATTGACATGCAATAAAGTATACAAAATCCTGTCAGTTGTGGTGACATTTCCAATTTGATAGTCATTACTTCTTCTTTCTTTCTTTCTTTTCTTTTTTTTTTTTGAGTTGGAGTCTCACTCTGTCGCCCAGGCTGGAGTGCAGTGGCCGCTCCCAGCCACCGCAGCCTCAA